GAGTAATCTAAAAGTATACCACCTTTAACGACGGATCAGCGACATAAAACCCTTTTAGCGACGGATTCGTGAGGGAATTTTCCATCGTTAATACTCTTCCTAGGGTTTCACGTACCAAAATACATTTAGAGTTATGTGCATGATTTGAGCAAACAACATCAAACTATACCACCTCCATCAGCCCTCATTTCCCCTTTAAATACTCCTCCCTCCTCCATCTCTTTAACCTCAAACATCTCTCCACATCTCTCTCTCTCTCTCTAGATCTCTCTCTCCCTCTCTCTCTCTCTAGATCTCTCTCTCCCTCTTTCTCTCTCTCTCTCTCTATATATATATATATATATATCTTGCAAACCTTGGAGAGAGAAATGGAACAAAATTTACCAGTAATCGCCAAGAAAGTATGGAGCTTGATGCGAGTCATGTTGTTGATGTTAAAAAAGGGAATTTCCAAAACTAAATTCTTGTCTGATGTCAACATGATGATGAAACGTGGCAAGATCGCCGGAAAAGCCTTACACAACCTTCTGTTCCACCACCACCACAACTGGGCGGCTTCCACCGTCCACCGCCGCCCCCACCACCTCTCTGCCACCCATTCCCCACCACCACCAGGTGAATACGAGCTCAACAAGAAACACCAAAACAATCACCACTCCGCCACCACCCCACCGGCCATAGACGACGGTGATGAGATAATTATCACTCCGGCGGTTATGAAGGCCCTGGAGATGCTGACAAGCGCCGCAGCGTCTCCGGCGGCACTGCCAGCTGGATTTTGGAAGAGCCCAAAGGTTAAGCAGCTGAGGATAACGGACTCGCCGTTTCCGTTAAGTAACGGTGACGATGACGGTAAGGTGGACGAGGCCGCAGAGAAGTTTATAATGAGGTTCTATAACGATTTGAGACGGCAGAATTAAAGGAGGGGTTTAAAGTGTCATTATCTAATTCTTCAGGGGGGACATGAGACTATATATAACTTGTGGTCTTCTTTGTGCTTGGAGTTTGTTGGTTTTGAGCTTTCTACATTTTGTCTCTCTAAAATGTTTGTATTAATTGCTATTAATTTCAATGAAAATTAAATTAATAATTGCAAATAATTTAAACATGGGTTTATTACGAAAACAGTTCCTCTTTCACTGTAACAAAATCGAGTTTACAAGACGTCATAAATCTCATAACCTTATCAAAGGGCCTTTGGTCTAGCAGTATGTGAGTCATTGGACTTCTGGGAGGTCAAGAGTTCGAACCTCACCAAAGCTGAGGAGGGTGTGTGAGTTTATTTGTTCTATTTACTGTATATAAATATTAAATACTTCAATAAAAATCTCAAAGCCTCCTAATAAACTGTTTTACAAGACTTGAGTTTATGTAAACAAACATATATGTGTGTTATGTAAAAGTGTTATAAGAGGTTTATGAGACTTCTTTTTGGTGTTTTAAATAGTTTTTTATGACCGTTTTTTAAAGAAGTTTCATATTAGTTTTTTTTTATGTGATACTTTTGAGAAATGTTGTTCTATAAACACTTCATGAATGAGCTGGAGTCATAGCAGGTGAACCTCCATGGCTACAAGGGTTTTGGCAACACATGGATTCGAACTCGTGATAGATGAGATTTTCACTATATTAATCAGTGCGCTACAACTAGGGGTGCGCATGGGTTGGGTTGATCGGGTTGAAGGCATTTAAACAATCCAACCCAATGTTTGCGGTTTGAAAAATCTTAACTCAATCCAACCCAACCCAATCCAAACCATACTGGTTGGTCGGGTTGATACTTTGGTACATTAAAATATGTTATTTATCTACTCATAATTTTTTTTATCATCAAACATTTGATACAATTTATTTATACTTCTTACATATATCACATTCAGTTAACTTTTTTTCAATTTACATATATATGTTCATAGTTACTGAACGTATATATAAATAAGTTATATAGAGATGTGAATAGTTTAAAAATATGTGTATATGAAGAACGTACGTAATAGTGTAATTGTCTAATGGTATATATTAATAGAAATTCAACAATCATATTAAATCCAAGAAATAAAAGGATATTGGGTTCATCGGGTTGGGTTAGGTTCAAAAAATAGTAACTCAATATCAACACAATATCTACGGTTTGAAAATCTTACAACTCGATTAGACATCGGATTACTTCGGGTTGAGTTATTTCACGTTGAGTTGGGTTGGTCGGGTTTTTGAGCACCCCTAGCTACAACCCAAATGGTTATTTCATTTAGTTTACAAGCACTTGAGATCAATGCATGATATTTACCGCAAGTTTTGTTGGTCTCAGGTTCGAATCCAAAGAGGAATAAAAAATCTCCTTGTGGCCATGGAGATTCAAATGTGGTGACTCTAGGCTACCTGCAAAACGGGTGGTCGTCCTAAGATTAGTCGGTTTGCATAGCGGGTTAGATATTCAGGTTAATAGAAAAAACTCTAACATAATATAAGAACAAAAACTTCAATTTTGATGGAAAACATTATGATTTTAATGTAATTGATGTTTGTAAATAAAAAACCATATTATAATATTTTATATAAAAGGAAATTTTATTATGATTTGGGTAAATGGTAAGAAAAAGTAACATATTTTAACTTGATTTCTATTTTGGGTAACGTATTTTTAAAACTTCTATTTGGTATCTAATATGTAAACTTTTAAACATTTAAGTACTCCGCTAACCGGTTGAAGGCTAATTTTAGATTAAAAAAATTCATGACACTAACCATGTCAGCAAATAATACTGAGTTGGATATCACATCACTCGTCATATCAGCATGATATAACCGGTTAATGCTTCAACCAATTACCCGGGTACGTAAATGTTTAAAACTTTACATCTTAGGTATCAAAATGAAAATTCTAAAAATAGGTTACCCAAAATAAAAATAAAATTAAAGTACGTTACTTTTTTATGCAATTTACCCTTATAAATTTTTGTAAACAATTACTTTTTATAGGTATATGTTACAGGGGTTAAATATGTAATTTATTACTTAGTGATTAAGGATACAAACATGCAATTTGTGTTAAAAGTTACATTTCCATATTTCACCAAACCTTTTGTTTCAATAATCATTACCTATCCTACCCCCACCATAATACTTTTATATATTTTTTTTATTTTTTTTTACATTTTCAATCTGTTATTTGACTTGATTCAGACATAAAAGGGGTGCATATAGCAACATCCAGAAAACCGTTAAGGATGTGATAATAAACCAAAGTAAATGAAAGTTATTAAACAGTAACTGTTTTTAACCATTTTGTTACTGATAATTCTTGTACTGTGATTCTTAAAGGTTGGAACAGTCATTTGTGCAGTGAGGGTACTGATCTTTTGACGAACAACGAGCACTTTATTGGCGTAAAAAGTTTAAAGCGAGAGTTGGGCACAGAAAGGGTTTCAAAGTCAATAAAAACATTTTTTTTTGTCAGAGACTGATAGTTATCGGAAGCAGTATCAGAATTAACAGTGATTTTATACAGTGATTGGTATACAAGTCTTGGAAGAATTAACAGAATGCTTCAAAATTGAATAATGTTACTTTACCTTACCTAGAAACCAGTTTTCCACCAGTAATAAGTATCGGTATAAATCTATCTTAATCCTTGAATAACCACATCATTTATGCTACTATTGTAACAGAAAAATCTCATTTTATGTGGAAAAGACTCAGCTGTATCAGTAATTATGATTTTGCAGATGGATGTTTTTTCAGTATTTGTTCATCAACTGTTAGGGTTCGACATTTGGATAACAGGTTGCTTGAAGAGCATTTTGATTAAAATCGCCAATTAAGTAAGTGAGCAACTAAACCAGTTATCAAACTACAACGCCTACAGTTGATACTTTTCGCCGTTATCAACATTGCAATAATGAAGACCATCGAGATGTTGATTGGCGGCGGCGCCACCACGTCGCAACGATTTGGGAAGAGCCCAATATAGTATGGGGTTGTTTGTTTACCTCTTAATAGTTTCATTAAGAGGCAGTCTTTGAACCGTTAAGAGGTGATTCTTGTTTGGCAAAAAAAAATTACGTCTCTTAATGGTTCTACAACTCTCTGAATGATTTTGTATTGCCCTAATTTCATTGTAAACAATTATATTCCATTTTGTACTATATCATGAGAGTCTCTTAATCATTCTGACTACTTAATCATTTTGTACCAAACCATTCAGCAACTGCCAAACAACCCCGTGTATCTATATATTGCAATGTACGTATAGATACAAGTGAATTTATTATTAATTAAAACCCTAACAACGACTGGTTAAGTGGTCAAACTTGTACCTCCTTTACCCGGAGGGTTAATCAAAAACGTCTAACTAAAGCATAAAATTTTAATGAAATCTAAAATAATGTAAATTTGTCTGGATTTAAACAAAAAATTACATGAGAGACGCTGAAAGTTTCCTTCGCGGATCCGTCACTGAAAGTTTCCTTCGCTGATTTGTCGTTGAAAGTTTCTCTTGCTGATATGTCGCTGAAAGTTTCTTTCGTTGAATAGTAGCTGAAAGGTTCCCTCCCTGATCCGTCGCGGATAGCATTACCTACGAGCTTTTGATCGAAGGACTATCATCGACGGATCAACGACGGAAGACCCCTTTAACGACAGATCAGCGAGGGAATTTTCCCTCGCTGATACTCTTCATTTTTGTAGTGCCTGCAGCTTCGGTCGTGAATCTAATTTTTGTTGTGCACCAAGGAACCAATGAGAGTGTGCCACGTATTCGGGACATTCACGAACGTTATAAAAAATTTGTGTCCATTATTCATGAAAAATTAGAACACGTGTCATGCTCTCATTTATCCCTCAATTCATAACGGTAAGCAGGTTGGCAACTGTAACTTTTCTTTTTTACATGATTCTATGAACTGACTACATTAAAACATTGAAATTTTTTTTATAATCAATTTACTAAAATACCCTTATCTTCATTTCTTTTGCACTGACTCAATCTACGATATTATCGGAGTTGAGTCCTGGGATTTGACGACGAACATAAAAAGCTACCTACGGACGCTTTACGCCTTATCATTTCGAATAATGCTTGCCAAACCTTCCCGTCGATATAAGCAATTGGGGGGGGAATGTGAATGAAAGATCCCGTTTTTTTTTATATCTGTCTTTGAATTTTCGATGTTTTCATCGAACGTTTGTCTTTATCAATACCTACTGAACCTTCACGTGTTTGCATCAGTCGAACAATGACTTAAAGCTCAATTCTAGACTATTCGAAGCAGTACAGACCTAACTAAGTCGTCAAAAGAACGAATGAACGTAAATGGGTATAAATATAACACATTCCTAACATTTGTACCTAAGGTCGAAAGAAACTTAGAAGAGCAACGATATTTTAAGACAATCATAAAGGAAAGGGATCGAGGGGTACATTTTTCCTATGAGGGTATTTTTGTCATTTTCCCCTATGAGGGTATTTTTGTTTTTCCCTTATTTCCCTCTGCTTTTTTCTTTAAAGAAAGGTTTCGTGAACACAGGCGTTAGTGACTAGTACTGTAGGATTGGTGTTTACTATTTCGATATAGCTGGATCATAAAGCTAAACAGACTGCTTTCAATGTATTTCAGATGAATCTGGATTGGGCATGAAGAAACGGGTTTGAACTTGCGAGACCAATGTTGCGACCGTGGTCCTCTCGAATTGCAACCCTTTCTTGGTGTTCAAAAGTTTTAAAAGGACGGTTTTGTTGTAGACACGAAGCTTTAAAGTACAATGATTCATAGTCTTGTTTTAGTTTATATAAAAACCATGGGATTTACGGAATATGTGCTTCTACATGATTCTGATTGTTTTTAGGTGTTTTAACAGTGTTACTGTATTCTAACGATTTCACATTTATTCATCAGGTCAGCCTGTTAAGATTAATGTCTGGTTTTTTATTACAAGACCGTTAATAACACTAGGGGTGTTCAGGAGTTGAGTTGATCGGGTTGAAGACGTTTGAACAACCCAACCCAATGTTTGCGGTTTGAAAAATCTTAATCCAACTCAACCCAAACCAAAGTGCAACCCAACCCAAACCGCACGGGTTGGTCGGGTTATACTTTGGTACATTAAAATATTCTTCTAATCTTGAATATGTTATTTCTCTACTCATAATTTATTTTTTGTCATCAACCATTTGATACAACTTATTCATACTTCTAACCTAAATCGTTTTATTTAAACTGATAAAATTGTTATTTTAATAATACTATAAAGGTATTCGTACAATGCAGAAAAATACATCTTGGTTTTAATTGTTTCATTTTATTTTTTTGTCTCAATCGCTATTATAATACGATTTTATGTGGTTTTGAGAAAATGATAATGTTTTTATTTTTGAATAAAATTTAAGTATGAAGATATCATGAAAAAATTTAAAAAAAATATTGATATTAGTACCAAACTAACTATTTAAAATTTCTCGTTTTTGTGTATTTTTTAATGCATTTTTTTATTTTTTATTTAATAACTAGAAGGGTATTCGTGCAATGCAGCAAGATATATCTAGATTTTAATGTTTCATTTTATTCTGTCTTCTGTTGATGTTATAATACGAGTTTATTTGGTTTTGAGAAAAACGATAATGTTTTTTACTTTTGAATAAAATTATAAATTTGAAGATATCTTAAAAAAATTAAAAAACATATCGATATTTCAAATTAACTATTTAAAAGTTTTTGTTTTGTTGTATAATTTCTTTAGTTCAAAATTTTTATTGTAATTTAATTAGGTTCAATAAAAAAGTAATTTATTTTTTATTTAATAATATAATTTTTTTATTAAAATAATAATTAAGTATCATGTTAGAAGATAATGATTATCCTGATTATACTTTAGATTTTTTATATTTAAAATGAAATGTTTATCCAGTATTTGATTATTTTTATCTGTAGTTAGTTACACGAATTCAAGCATGGAGTTTTAATAAGTTGTATTTATGCATTATTTACCTGTAATCTTGAATTTTAAGTAATATGCATCAATAAACAGTACTTCATGCATAAAAAATAGTTTTTAAGAGTTTTTGTCAAATGATAAATAATTAAAATTTATAAAGATAATAATTAAGTATTTTGTTAGAACCCAATGATTATTCTAATTATATTTTACATTTTTTTATATTTAAAATGAAATGTTTATCCTCTATTTGATTATATTTATCTGCAATTACATACACAAATTCAAACATAAAGCTTTAATAAGTTGTATTTACACACAATTTACTTGTAATATTGAATTTTAAGTAATATGCATCAATAAACAGTATTTCATGCATAAAAAATGATTTTTAAGACTTTTTGTCAAATGTTTTATAATATAGTGTAGATAGCTTTTATTTATCAAATATGCAGAAGAAATTATAATTAACATGCAGTTATCGATTTTATTTATCAAATTTGAAACAAAAATACAGATTAAAAAGAGTAAGAAAACGATACAAACGAATAAAAAACAGACTTTCGTCATTGTACTATGGCAGAGACTGGATAAATGGTAGGGTAGTAACCAATGTCTTTAACAACTGATGAACTTTCTGAATGAATGGGAGACGTTCAAAACAGATGTGTCCAATAATTATAAAAGGTGAAATTTTACACAACCTTTTTCGTTCATATGTATTTTTTTTTTTTCATCACGTGAGACCAGTCTGTTTTCGCGAAACCCATGAGACCATTCTTTTACACTTGAAACTTCACAACAAAAACACCAACTTTACAGTGTTTTTGTTGTAGGGTAAAAAAATGGTATCATGGGTCTCACGTGAACCCAACCCTCAAATTATATGACATTCACAGTGTTTTTGTTGTGAAGTTTCAAATGTAAAAAAATGGTCTCTCGAAAACATGTTGATCTCATGTGAACCCAACCCTCAAATTATATGATCATGACTTTTATATATTTGAATTTTAAATATAGAAAAAAGAATTAATACCAAAATTAGGGAACAGAAAAAGGTGAAGCTTTTTGAAAGGGGCATAAAAGTCTGAAAACGGAAGTTAAAAGAGAGGAGTGGGGGCAGATGCGAAGAAAAGATGGTGGGAATGGGCAAAGTGCTATTGCTCTATTATTTCTTCTACATTGGATAACACATTAAAATATACAATTTTTTTTATTAATCTGAATATCCAATTTGCTATGAGACTCAGACGAATATCTAGGGATGACAACGGAGAGGGGATGGGGCAGGTTTTGTAATCCCCGGCTCCAGTTTTTAGTAACAGCCCCTGGTCCTGGTCCTGGTCCCGGTCCCCAGCAGGTACGGGGATTAACATCTCGTCCACGGTCAAACCCCGTGAAGAATATCCAGATTGAGTCTATTGGGGATCCCTGTCCCCAACCCCAGTTTAAGTAACAGCCCCCGTCCCCTATTTGAGTCTATCGGGGATCCCTGGCCCCAACTCCGGTTTGAGTAACAGCTTCCGGCCCTTATTTGAGTCTATCGGGGATCCCCAGTCCTGTGACCTGTTTTAGCGGGGAGTCCTTGTTCGGATCAAGTGAGCCAGGTTCCCCATCGGGTCAGGGAAAATCACCATTAAATATGTTTCGTAGATTAGATATTCAATCTCCTATAAAGCAACTTTAGTTCATCTCCTCTGGATTGTTATGAGATCTTATAGTAATACATTAAATGTGATTAGATTTATTTTATTATTAAATTAATGATATGGTGATAACATTTGATTTACTTGTTCTGCTAATTTTTTTAGTTTTACATTTTTGCTAGGCATGGGAGCGGGTTTTATAATCCCTAGGTCCGCTCCAGTTTTTAGTAACAGTTCCCAGTCACGGTCTTTGGCGGGTACGGGGATTAACATTCCGTCCCCAATCAAATCCTAGTCAAACCCCATGAAAAATAATACTGGGTTGGGTGCAACATCACTCGTCATATCAACTGGTTATTCGAATACTTAAATGTTTAAAACTTTACATCTTAGGTATCAAAATGGAAGTTTTGAAAGTATGTTATCCAAAATAGAAATCAAATTAAAGTATGTTACTTTTTCATGTAATTTGTCCATTTAATCGATTCCAGTACAGAAAGATGATATCGAGACAAAAAACCGAACAGAAAAAAGTGGTTATTTTTGTAAAAGGAAACGTCAAAAGAAGGGAGTGGGAAGATGTGTAAAGATGATGGGATGCAGGAGGTACTACGGCAAATAAAGTGGATTTTATTTTATTTTATATTATTTCATTTAAAAAAAACAATGAAATTTGTTGGATATATCCAAATAATGAAATTTCAAAGTGTCAACAAAAATAAAAAGGTAAATTACGTTTTCTGTTCTTATCATTTAGAGTTATCAAGTCTGTATCATGTCAAATCACTTAATATCTGTATTAATTATTCAATTAAACCAGTATCTATTTAGCTGACGTTAGACATGGTCAAAAACTGGTTCTAGATCGAGTCGGGCCCAAATCAGTCCTGGACTAAAACGATAACAATTCGGACCGGTCTCGTCGAAAATACTAAGACCCAACCCAATCAAGGGTACTTGTAAGTTATAACCGGTCCCAGGTTGGGTCCATACCATAGTCCATAGGGACGAAAACATAATTTTATTTTTAAAATACAAAAATGAAATCGCCCACCGTGGGGCTCGAACCCACGACCACAAGGTTAAGAGCCTTGCGCTCTACCAACTGAGCTAGACGGGCATCATGTCTATAATCTGAACACTATATATATAACTCTTAGAACATATTAAATTTGTGTATTTCAACGTATAAATTATATATATATATATATATATAGAGTTGAATTCATATGATATGGGACAAGGCTGATTTTATAAGACACGCAAGACAGTTTTTTTACATTTGAAACTTCACATCAAAATGCTGTGAAGGTAAAAAGTGTGAAGTTTCAAGTATGAAAAAATTGTCTCACAAAAACAGTTTTGTCTCACGTGATTCCAAGTCTATATGTATGTATGTATATTGGAATGAAATGTTATATACTTCAATCATATAAGATAGCCGGTCAGTTATGCAACCGGTCAGTTATGCAACCGGCCAATTAGTCGTTTCATGCACGGTTTCTATTAACCGATACGTGGAGCTCGTTAAAGTTGTCCATCTCTAAGAAAATGTATGGAATTCCATTTGCAATAGTCCCTAAGTCCCATTTATCGTTTCATGACACATTGATGCAACTTTATCACAAGTCAAGGTCGGCCCAAAAATAGTAGCTCTGGAGGTCAGATCTGCATACATCACACCCCCAATACGCCACTTCCAGGTGAGATATAATGGTTTAGCTTTACATGGTTTTAGAATGACAATGGAAATAATTGGGCACAATAGAACGAAAGAGGGAAGCCAGATGTCATTGTTTTTGGGCAAGCGATAAGGCGAGCCCTAGAAAGTAGAATATAGCAATACACATACCCTCAAATTGACTAGTTTGCACAATGATGATACGATAATCACACACTTTCGATTTCAACTTCCCAACGGTTGGCGTTATTTCTCCATGTTACGACAACAAAACACGACTCGATAGCTATTTAAGCTAACGAACCGGGAAGATCTCCGGTTCTTTACAAAAGTAACCTCTTCAACACGGCTCGCACGACCCTGAGTCCTTCATGATGGCCTGCGACATATACAGCTACACTCAAGTTCCGCCTGTCAAAAAGAGGCAAATCAGAATAGAAAAAATAAAGAGTGGCGGTCTTCCAAGCCCGTTTTTAGTAAGCAAAGAAATTCCTGGCCTTGGGTGTGAAAATAGGCCCGATCGGGCCTCTCTAGGTTTTTCAAACCGCGCTTTCTCAGGCAGCGCGCTAATCAGCCTTGAAAAGGGAGTAAATTACAAGTTTGTTAATAACTTTGATTTTCATCCCTGTGGTTTAGAAATTACAATTTTCGTCCCTATGGTTTGCATTTTATTGCTATTTTTGTCCCTGGACTAATTCCCACCTTACAAGTACAACAGACCAAAACGACAATAAATTATAAAATCATAAGGATCAAAATAGCAATGAATTATAAACCATAGGGATGAAAATAGCAATTCCTAAACCATAGGGACAAAAATTGTAATTTACACCAGTAAAAATAAAAAAGATGAGTGGCATTCCAAGCCCCTTTTTAGTAAGCAAAAATATTCCCGGCCTTGGGTGTGAAGATAGGCCCGATCGGGCTTCTCCAGGTTTTTCTAAACGGGCTTTCTCAGGCCAGGGTTCTACCGGCCTTGAAGGAAAATGTGGGCTAATCGGGTTTTAAGGCTTGGCCTGGACCTGGGCTTACTAGGCCTGGCCAGGCGGGCATTTCAGGTCAAGTTTCAGGTTTTTTAGATATTTTATTTACCTCGGCATTATCATACTCAAACCGAACCACAAAGATGCATGTACAATCATCCTTATCGTGCAGCTGCCTTTCAACCTTTATGGCATGTGCATCAGAATAAAGTGCATGATCTTCATTTGCCTGAACAGCAACAAGAAAGCTAATCATAATTTTGAACAAATTATTCAATCGATAACCAAACCTAATAAGTCCCACCGGGAGGTGGAGGTCTCTGTGGGGGAGGTGTATAGGCAGACATAGCATCCATCATAATGTGAACAAACCATTCAATTGTTAACCAAACCAAACCAAACCAACCCAGTAAGGGCCTGTTCCTTAGTAGCTTAATGAGCTTAATGAGACTTGCCAACTTATTTGGTCAGTTATACATGATTATTTGGTAGTGGCTTAATAATATAGAAAGTGGCTTATTCAGTAAGCTTCTAAGGGGAAGCTTTATGCAGAAAGCCAAGTTTTTTTCAAACTTGCCTCTCTCAATTACAAAACGCGCTCATTCCATTTATGAAAAAGCTCTCCTAAACAAACTCTTTCAATCTATACAGACAAATATTAATTGTTTTTGTTTGGGAATGAACTTGAATCCAACTAACCAAAGGGACTTTGGCCTAGCGGTATCGTAGCCCTTGGCCTTCTAGGAGGTCAGGGGTTCAAACCTCAYCATAGGTGAKRAGGGTGTGTGAGTTTATTTGTTGCATTTGCCGTATATAAATATTATATACTTCAAAAAAAAAAACTTGAATCCAACTATTAGCAAATTTTGAATCTTTCCGCTATTAACTGTTTTTTGTTTTTTAAACAAAAAATAAGAAGAAAAGCGGCTATGAGATGAGTTGAAAGTAACCCATACCCAATCAACAGATCTATAGCTTTAACCCTTATGGTCATATGGTGCTACCGCTTGAAAATTTTCTTGGTCTGGCTTTAAGTTCACAATAAGCTTATAAAGTGTTTCAATCATCGAATTATCTCTTATTACTATAGAGGGGACTCCAGCTTAGAGCTTGTTTGTTAGCAGCTTAATGAACTTAATGGGACTCATAGCTTATTAGGTCAACTATGCATGACTGTTTGATAGTGGCTTAATGATATAGAAAGTGACTCTTGTTTAGCAGCTTAATGAGCTTAATAGGACTCACCAGCTTATTCCGTCGGCTATACATGACCGTATGGTAGTAGCTTAATGATATAGGAAGTGGCTTATTCAGTAAGCTTCTAGTGGGAGTTTTATGCAGAAAACCAAGTTTTTCCCAAAACTGCCTCCCCCAATTAAAAAACATGTTTCTTCCATCTATGAAAAAATCATCCCAAACAAAAAACCTTCCCAATCTATATAGACAGATTAATCCACACAGACAACCTTATCCATACATGACTTAATGAAAAACCAACCAAACAGCCCCATCAGTAAGCTTCTAGGGGGAGCTTTATGCAAAAACCCAAGTTTTTTCCAAACCTGCATCTCCCAAATGAAAAACATGCTCCTTCCATTTATGGATAAACCTTCCCAATAAAAACCTTCTCAACCTATACAGACAGATTAATCCACACAAACAACTATATCCATACAAGACATGATGGAAAACCAACCAAACAACCCCTCTAGCTTAGTATGAAAAGTTTAATAGTGCAAGCAACAAAGGGAAAGAGAAATGTAACCATACCCTATAGCATAGTAAATGATCACCAACTTTGACCTTGTGACATTCTGAAGGCACCAAGGGGATTGACCGCTCACGAAGTCCCCTTCTTACATTCACCCACTCGTCTTGATCATGGCTAAAACCACAAAATCTCACTCGAACCTCCTGCAACAGAAACAAAAGTATATACAAGATTCTTTAATGTTTTTACTCTTGGAGTAGTAAATAGCAAACGAGCCCAGTATATCTCACCTAGAGGTGGGTTCAGGGGTTAAGATGTACGCAGACCTGACCTCTAGTTTAAAGAGTAGACCGGTTGTTTACGACCCCCAGCTAGTGAAAAGTGGGGAAAGTGTCCAAAATAGCCAATCAAGCCTCCCCTCTTCACTTTATAGCCACCTTTCCAACATTGTGACCGAAATAGCCGTAGATTAAGCAAGTAGCAGTGTAGCACTTACGCAACTTGCTTAATCTCTAGTTTTTCTTATTGTATTGGAAAAAGTGGGTTACACTTGCATAAGCGCTACTTGCGTAATCTCTAACTATTTCGGTAAATATCTTGAAAAGGTGGCTATAAAGTGAGAACTAAAGTGGGGAGGTCCAATTGGCTATTTTAGACAATTTCCCGAGAAAAAATGTGTGAAAGGGAGAAAACAAATCTTGTAAATTAAGTTTAATTGGTCCCCAGATCTCCCAAAAAAAAAAAAACAAGAAAACCATAATGTCAATCCACGATTATGGTAACAAAGTCTTACGAGCTCGCCACAGTAAAGAACTCTGAAATTAAGGAATGCAGCAACATCATACCTGATATGTTAGTGATGAAATTATTACATAGCACTATAGCAGCCACTTTATTAAAGTCCCACGAATAAAAGTATCTCAGAATCATCAGTTACATTTACACTCACCAAGCACAATCTTTTGATGACAAAGCTTCAAAAATCAAATCTGAAAGTTCTGCCACTCTTTCAGCTGTAGAAGAATCAAAATGGTGAATGCCGGACGCAGAAATTTAATATCACCCCAGAAGCACTTGAGAAGTTATTCTTGCAAATTGGCACTTTCTATATATACACACACACATACATATATAAGGGGGGCTTCATTTGAGAAGCCATAAAATTGTGATAGCCTTGAAAACTGGTGCAACTGCATCAAGTGCAATTTCACGCATAAATATTTATGCACACTTTCTGGTTCTGTTACATATATGATCTCTAGATGCATGGAACTATTTCATGTTTATTCTCCCTTGACTATCCAAAAACTGCTCTGGTTTAAGCAAGATGAATGGCATGTATAAACATAAATAATGCTCCCTTCGTCCCAAAATAAGTGTCTACATTACTATTTCAATTTGTTCCAAAATAACTGTCCACTTTCAAAAATAAAAATTTACTTTCTCATTATACACTTAATTATGATATAGATAAATTTTCTCTCAATAATTAAGGATAAAATTGTCCTTTTATTAATTAATAAGTGTAATTATGACACATTCCTACAACCGTGTGCATTTTTCATTGTAAGCATTTATTTTGGGACAGAAAGAGTAAACAATGATTTTTATGAGTGACAAAAATTGTCATACATTAATAAGCACAAAATTATACACATTAAGGCTATTTTAAGTTTAACACAATAAGAAATATATAAATAAACCACCTTTAGGCTTCTTAGGTCTTTCAGCTGCAGCCCATGCTTTTGATAAGGCCACAAGATTTTTTAGAGCAATTGGTGAAGTGTTTATGGGCGCATGTTGCTTTGTAGCTGCATTTGAATCAGCCACTAAACTTTTACTCTTAACTGCTGAAAATAATTGTCTATCAAGGAACCAAGTGTGCACCTATGCAAGGAAAACAACATACGGTCATTGGGGCGGTGGATCGGATGAGGTACACAAAAAGATTAAATATGTGAAAGAGCATATACAACTAACCTGGTCCCATGTTATGATAGAGTTCCCATTTCTATTAGCCGAGCAACTGCACAAGAGATAAAAGGTTAGTGAAAGAACTAGTGCTTGGGAAACTGTGATATCCCATGTCGGTTGGAAAGGGGAACAAAGGTTGCCTTATAAGGGACTGGATACCTCCTCTACATCAGACGCATTTTTTAATACCGTGAGTCTAGGTGTGTACATAGCGGACAATATCTGGTAGGTAAGCCAGGGATGTTACAAATAGTATCAGAGTCGGGAACCAAATTGGTGTGCCAACGAGGACACCAGGCTTCCAAGGAGGTGGACTGTAAGATCCCACATCGGCTGGGGAGGGGAACAAAGGATGCCTTGTATATCAGACATGTTTTAAAGCCGTGAGTTCATGTATGGACAAAGCGGACAATATCTAGTACGGTTGACTGGGGATGTTACAACTTCCATTTAGCAAGCCAAACCTTTCACTTAGCTAGTTCTCACACCTTAAGCAACAATACGCAAAGCAACTGTGGACTTTTACCTGAATTTGGTGGCAAGTTCTTCACAGAACTTCTGCTGTTGTGATTCTTTACCCCGTTTTCTGTACAAGTGTTCCATTTCCAGGGCCTACCAAATGGAGAGGAGAACGTGATATATCTCTGAGCTTAACGTTAAACATGAAACAATAATGCGGGTAACATACTCTAAAACCCCAAATGGAGGAAGCAAACTAACCCAACTTGTCGTGAACCATAAGCAAACATAATTGAAATAAAAGCTATGGGGGTGTACATTAGACACATTCTGATCCAGATCCCATCAATTTTTTATTTCCTTTTTGAAGTATAAAATATTTATATACGGGAAATGCAACAAATAAACTCACACACCCTCCTGACCTTTGGTGAGGTTTGAACCCTTGACCTCCTAGGAGGCCAAAGGCTCGGATACTGCTAGGCCAAAGACACTTTGGTTCCCATCGATTATCGGTAGCAGAAAACCTAAACAGGACTGGACTGGATGAGAGTAAGGTAGGCGGGTGAAAGTCACTTTCTTGGATATTGATGAGAAGATCTCTCTCACTTAAATATGAACTCACTAATCACTTCATGTTTTTCTTAAAATTATATGTCCAAAGCTTTGAAATCTTAAGTTTAATCCACAAATTAATTTAACCACAAGCTTCAAGAAAAATAGAACAATTAACGAAGAAAAGAGTACAGAGCATCGAAAAATCATGCCTCTAACTAAATCGAAAGTTCAAAAAGAAATATCAAGACAGGCAAAGCATAAATTGTATCGGGACATCGTCCAAAATAGCAATTTTAGCCTCCCCTCTTCACTTTATAGCTACCTTTTCAACCAATTGATTGAAATAGCCAAGATTTTGCAAGTAGCACTTTCGCAGCATCCAATATCCACCTCTTTTTTAATATAATATTCATAAAATAGCAATTTCACAAGTTGCTAAAGAGCTTCTTGCAAAATGCTAGCGTGGAAGTGCTACTTATGCCCTTGCTGAAATCTACTTGTCACATAAAGCATTTTTGCAAATAGCACTTTAGCAACTTGCAAACTTGGTACTTCATGATTGAATTCATAACAAGTAGACTTGCGAAATCTTGGTTGTTTCGTTCAATTAAGTAGAAAAACAACTGTAGAATGAATTGGGGCAATTTCCCAATTGTACTACCTCCACACCATTTGATATAAATTCTGAATCTTCTCAAAAAATGAACGAATACATTAAATTTTTTGGTAAGGTATCACGAATTCAAATTTCCCAGCGATAAACTATCTACAAGATCTAGATACAATTTTTGTATGAGGTTAACACTTTCCATCAGCAAGCAGCAATCAAAATGCAAACTGCTGGTGCAGACATATACATAGATATGAACTCAAGAGCAGGAAATATACCTCGGCGAGTGTAAATTCGCAGACATCCTCTATTTCTGTAGTGTCCATCAGTTTGTCTTCGTTGCTCGGCCCGATGTCCAGTGATCGGAATTTAACGATTGACGTTCAGAATGTGTATTTAATCTTCGTTGTCGTTCAGAATCTCTTGTCTTCGTTGATTCAATCCATCGATTGACGTTGATTTGAGTTTAGATTCCCGTTAGGGTTCCTGATTTTCCGATGAGCCCTGGTGTCTATGGAGAGTGTGTGGGGCTTCGAGACTGGCTCGGAGTTCGGTGAAAACAGTATCCTTTTTGCTTATTACCCGGCAAATTATATAAAATATAATTATTATTTTTAAAAATAAAAAAAAATATAGATTCTTAATTTTAAATCATATAAATGTTTAAATCTTTACATATTATGTATCAAAATGGAAGTTTTGAAAGTATGTTACCCAATATATGAATCAAGTTAAAGTACATTACTTTTTCATGTATTTTGTCATTTTTTAAACAGAAAACATAAAAGTTTTGTTCTATATTTTGTTCAAAATAGAGAAAACTTCAATCTCAATTTTTCTTCAAAAGATTTTCTATATTGTTCTTTAAAATAGAGAAAACTTCATAATTTAAAAATATTTTTTTTAAACTTGATTTCCCATATTGACTATTATTGTTTAATATAAAAAAAATATTAGGTGGTAAATTTATATAATATTTTAATAACATAATTAATGTTGAAATTTTTAAAATAAAATTATATTAAGATTGAATATAATTTTTTTAATGTTTTTAACTTTTTATTCTTTATTTTATATTATACTAGAAGCGTACTCGCGCAATGCAGCGAGATACATCATGATTTTAATATTTCATTTTATTTTTTATCTCAGTAGATGTTATAATATGGCTTTAT